TATCTGGGGAGGGGAAACCAGAAAGTGTGCCCTTCTTGTGCAGTAACAGTTATCCGATGGCAACATCTCTCACCAGTAAGTGTACAAATGTCACAAAACGTGGGAGTCGCATAGGCCCGTCAACCCCATTTTACACTGGTTACTGACATACCACATTTCTGATCTGCGTCAGTAACACACAAGTGATGACAAAACCTGTCACAATTGACCAGTCAGAGGGTATATCAGATCCTGGTATACCAGAACGGCCTTTTGTTTTGAGTTTGCCCACAGACATTCTTTTGCTTTCTCTAGCCATGCTTGTCCCCCATTTTTGCGCTTTGCGCGTTGCACCCCAACTAACTGAATGTCTGGAAGAAGCTATGTTCCCAGTGTTCTAATGCTATCAGCATTCAAGTCCAAGATGGCAGCCTGTGTCTGGCATGTTTGAATTCCACAAAAGAACTCGGCTTTTTAACAGATCTTTACACAATTTTGAAACCTGCCACTAGCTGGAAAGTACATGTATTCAGAAATCATTTGTAGAAGTGCAAAGTTATCCCAAGGAATTTTGCTCCTACCGATCAAGGTGGAAAATAATGGAACTATTTTCTGAAAAGGATGAATTATACATCTAGTTGTGATGAAGACATGAAACTTAAGTCTGAGGATAAAAGTTGTGGCCTTACCATGTCCACCATGCTGGTATTATAAGTGAACAGACAGGTTTTTAACAGTAATCAGTGATTAGACAATAAAATTATTTTTAAGAGAACAAGGTAATATTCCTAGAACACTGTGTCTTCATGTAGATACCTGGCAGCCGGAAAGTGTTTTCAGAGACTAGATCCCAGGCAGTCTGAAATTATTATAGAATTTCCTTGGACTAACTCATTCCATTCTGCTTAGAATAGCAGATCCTTGTTTACAAATGTCAAGCAATTTCAAGTACATTTATAATTTTGGCTAATTGTAGTTAAGGAAATTTTGTACTGGGGCTGCCTATAAAATCTCCATGTTTTGACACTTAGAAAATATTTTACTCTGGCCTTTTTTTCTGGCGTGTGATATTCTCAGTTATTTTAAGGACTATTAAAGTAGTGTTATCAGTTAAAGATAAGCTACAAAAAGGCAAGTTATGGGCTGAGGTCATTGTTCTCACTTCTGGAGTGTCCTTTAATCACATTTGGGTTCATATTTCTGACATTTCATGGCCATGAACACATATTTTCATGACCCATTAAATTCAGGTCTGGTTAGTTAATCTGACTTGGCAATTTCATGGGCTATGAAATCTAGTGATATATGTTTCATGACCCATCAAATTTAATTTTACTTTATTCATGAATTTTCATGGCTATGAAGACAAATTTTAATGACCCACTAATTTCATTTCCGGAACACCGATGACTCTTCATTGAAAAAGTTCTTCATGAGCCATGAAATAATTTTTATGAAAAATAATTGGGTTTCAGTGAGACCATGAAAATTGCCGTGTCTTGCTCAGAATTTTTGTACGGGATGTACTTTTTCACTTATGATCTGATGGTTCTTTTTATATGATCATCAATAATAAAAAGTATTATTTGAATCACTTTTTATTGGACTGCTGCAATTTACTTAGGCATGGGTTGCACTGTGGACTTTTTTTGTTTTTGTCGCGTCATAAATTGTAGCACAAGTTTGTTGGGGCAGTTTTAGCTCTACAGGACTAGTTATTAAGTCTTGCACACTGAAACATTGATGCCATCAGAGGAGAAAGAGCGAAATATTCAGGTTTTGTTAGTTTTTTCTTAAAATGGAGAGAATCAGTTAAGGGAATGATCTATGAAAAGAAAGGAAGGGGTCAGGGACCATTTAAGAGCAGACGGGTAAACTGCATGAGAAGTTAATGCAACTGGTACCAAGCTATTACTTCTTCCTTGGTGCATGCACTCGATGCATGACATTGTGTGACATTGCGACACAAGTTTTGAGGGCAGTAAGGATGCGCAGAAACAATGGGCGTGAACATCCTCAAACACACATTAGGCATCTTAAAAATACAAACTTCAGGTACTCCCCTGGTTGTGAAATAAACTTCTTTGAATGCTTTTCTAAATGATAGAACCTTGAGGCTGATAATTATATACAGAACACTCGGAAAAACTCTGGGACCAACCTATCAAAGTGACTCAAGCCATCACCTCTTTTCGTTGACTTCATTGCAGACAGAGCTCTGTGCATGCTAATCCTCACCCTCGTCTCCCAGAGCTTGGCATTGTTTTCAGGTTCAGGAGGGGTAAATATTTTTTACCAAAAATCATGTTTTGATACTGGACAGGGTTCTTTTTATGATGTTAACTGAACTTGCAACTGCTGCCCTACAGAATATATAATTACGATCTGTAAATATACATCTACTGTAGGTTCTGGTAATCTCAGTTTGGACCTTCATCAATCATGGTTGAAATAAGGCAGAAATGAAACCCCTTACCCCAAATCAATTGTGAATACACACTAAAATTAATATCAGCCATTTTTCCAGTGTTATTATTACATGTAATAGAAGTAATAATAATGATAATGGTAATGATAATGATAATAATAGTATTTTATGAGGGAACCCAACTCACCATGGCAGTTTTCAGAGGGCCCCTCAAATCAAGTTCAAGAAGGAGTTGTCTTCAGTTTAAATTGTGTTGTTTGAGATGGTAGCTCATTCCAGGTTGGCATTACATGTATCTTGCATTATGATATGACTCATAAGTCTTAGGCCTGCAGTGCAAACTATGTACATTATTGCTTCTAATATCATGAGTGTGGTGAAATGATGAAGAGTTCTCTGCAACATCACTTAAGCCAAACATGGAATAAAAAATTGCAAATTTTTCATTTCATGTCTATGTGTAGATGAGCAGTTGTTCATACATGTTTGCATCTCAGCTGTTACATATTTATTAAGAGCATTGAGGTCTAATACAGCATTCATGTACCTTCAAGTTTTAATTGCTTTAATCTGGACTAAAACGTTGTGAAACTAAAATGCAAATTTGGCACTAACTAGATAAAAAAGTATTGTTATTCAGAATATTAATATTAATCTGAAGCTCATAATCACTTTGTTAACAGATCACACTGTAAGTTTAAGCATGCCTTATTTTACTCGCCTTTTTGTTTTTTGTGCACAGTTATCATTAACCTCAGGTGTCTTCAAAACCAGTCAACTGTGTATAATACTAATTCTGAGTTCTGATTTAATTGGTGCATTCCGTTGCTTTACATGTACATGTTGTGAACTCTTGCTCTCTATTGGTTGACAAGTGTTAGATTTTTAGAGTTATAAGTAGTAGAATTGTTGCTACACAGTAGTAATCGCTAACATTTATTACTTACAAGTTTAGGACATTGATACAAGAATCATGTTAACAAAAGGTCATTTCATTCTTTTGTGTAGATCAGCCTGATGTGGTTACCTTGGTAACTAACACAACTGAGAACAAAGACTGTTCTGATTTGTGGGTGAATTTCACTTGCATCTCATCTGAAGCCAATCCACCAGTTTATAATTATCTGCTTTCTGATGACGAAGATGGATTCAGTTTAAGCAAGAGTGGAACAAGGATAACCAAGATATCAAGAGAAGGAAAGTCTGTTTACAACTGCTTAGCATATCAACTTGTAAGAAATGTAACAAGCAAGAACAATATTACTCTAACTGTAAATGGTGAGTGAGTTAATGAGGTATAGAATTTTAATTCTAATACATAAAAGTAAAACAGTAGTCTTGGTAAGTTCAATCAATAAGTATATTCTCATGAAAAACTCAGAGGTTTGACAAAACAAGCTTTTTCCCCACTGTAGGAATAGAATGTGTTCTGCCAGAGAAATGATATCCAAACCACTGACACAGGGGATTTTTGGTTTTGAGTTCCTGCCTCCTTGGAAATTCCCATTTTTTTCATACTCTCCTTTAAAAACTTTGGGTTTTGAAACCCTTTTCTCCCTTAGAATTTCCAGTGACCTTCTTGGGTTGGGTATGGATATTTCCTGGAACTGCAAAGTATGAGAGAATTTTTCATGGGTCACTACTGGCACTTTAAATTGTTTTGCTCACATAAGGTTGACAGGACTGATTGCAAGTTTGAACCGATACAATATTGGCTATTGATCAGGTTTCATAGCAGACCTTGCCTTTAAAAGTGCTTTTGCCCCAGTTAGGTTTATGTAGGTACTAGCTCAGCTGTTTTGAAATAAAAATGGCTTTATTCTAAATGTTTATTGCAGTACCAATTTCCATTAATCTGCCAAAGAAAAATTTCACTTTTGAGGAAGGTGACAATGTGGAAGTGCACTGTAATGCAACTGGGAGTCCTCGTCCAACTGTTATGTGGAGAAAGGTTCAGGGTCATGGTTATAACCTCACTGAGGGAAAATTACTGAGCATCACTAACATCACCAGAGCTCAAGCTGGAGAATACAGGTGCACTGCAAACAACACTTGTGGAAGGAATTTTGAAGTGATAGACATTGATGTGCAATGTAAGGACATATCTTTTCTTTTCAATGTTAAAAACATGCAGCTAAGGGTAATAGGTTAATTAGTGGAAGAGTACAAAATGTATGGGTATATAACTGTTTGGAACCTGTTCTGTAGTACTAGTGCAGTACATGTTTTTGTTCGTGAGAAGAAAACCCAGGAGTGGATGGTTAATTAATTCAAGATGGTGACAATGGAAGGGTTAATTAATTTATGATGATGATGCCAAAACTTACTTGACAAGGGAGCGTGTTTCGACACCTTCTAATTTGTCAAAACTTACTCGAGTCCTCTACATATTGTGTGTATTGTATTTTTTTCAAAGCATACTGTTGACTGCAGCTTATTCAAAATGTATTTATCATGCGCGTCTGCATTCCATGTAACTTTAGCATCAAAGTGTACTTAGCTTGCCCAGACATGTTCCGCATAGATTAAGAAGTTTCCCACGTCGACCATGTCGCTTTCGTGTTGTGTTTATGTTTAAATTGTAATTGCTGTAATGGGTGATAGAACACACAATATGTAGAGGGCTCGAGTAAGTTTTGACATATTAGAAGGCGTCGAAACACGCCCCCTTGTCAAGTAAGTTTTGACATCATCATGAATTAATTAAGCCTTCCTTTGTCACTATCTTGAATTAATTAGCCCTTCCACTTCCTACTTTGCCATACATTCCCACACATTCCTTTTATTTATTTTTTATTATTCTTATTTATTATTTATTTTATTTCATTTTTTTTCATTTTATTTTATTTATAGAACCTAGTTTTATACATTTTTGACTTGATAATGACGTTACGGTAACGTCGAAACATTGTCGATTTTAATTCAGCTTTTTAGCTTTTTAAATCTTAGAATGCTTTTAAGAAATGTTCTGTCGCA